AGATACCGCCTTTCCTTTTTAAGTCTAGGAATTTAACAACGGTTATTTAAGGAAACTCTAAAAGCATGCGAAGCCCTAGGAGATCCTTCCTTATAAATAACCAGTCGTAGCCGCCAAAGAAATAAGGCAAGGAAGAAGAGAGAAGAGCTTTACCCAAGGTGTGAGCGAGCAACTGTAGTGCTTTCTCATCGTTTACCAACCAACCTTCCTTGGTGTCCTCCATAGCCAGGCTGTAGTAGAGCGGTGATCAGGTCTCAAGAGATACTGATCACCAAGGCAGGTGCGGTGTTGATCAGAATTGTCGTGACAGAGATCTTCCTTTGTTCTTGATCTCTTTATATGTTTGGGGTTGTATTAAACGTTGAAACTTAGATGATTTTTGATATCACCATGATTGTCTTACTTGGTGTTAAACTTTGTTTTGCCTAAACAATTACTTTATATTCTATGAATGATGAATTATGTTTTTGCTCATGACTGTTTTGTTCATTGTTTGAATATTTTACCTTGACACTGTAAGAGCATCGAGAGATCACATAGGGTTTTGGTAAAACATGTCTTGGCAATATAAGAGCATCGAGAGATAGTCTTTTGTCTAGATAGTGATTCTTAGATTCGAGAGAATTAAGATAGATCCATGTGAGCAATGGAATGAATCCGGGATGGTGAAGTTCTAACTTGTTTACCTTAGAGATAAGGAGCGAGTTTCAAACGACTAAAAGGGATAGATGCTAGAGTAGAATAGACAACGCCTATAGTTCACGCTGAGAGGTATTGCCACAACAACAGTTTGACAAACCAAGGGTTGTAGTTAACGCTGAGGAGTATTGCCATAACAACCGTCTAAGAATACCTAGTAATCCTGTCGGGCAGCTTTAGCAAGTCATAATAATTCATTCTAGAATTAGAGTGATTGTTTTCAATACAAAAGTTTAGCATAAGTGCTCTGTGATAAGTCTGAATATGTGAGGTTGTTTGCATTATATTTAAACCAACACTTGTTTTATTTCATTCCAGAATTCTGCATACTTATTTTACCTTGACCAAACTTTTCTGCAATCATTATATCACTTCTTTGTTTCGTTAATATTAGTTCTTAAGTTGACAATCTCGTAGGAATTACTTTGTGACACTAGTTCTAGTTGTGGTGAAATTAAATTTCTAAACCAATCCCTGAGGAGACGATACTCACTTACCCTATATTACTTGAATTGATTGTGTATACTTGCACATAATTGCTTGCCTTAGCACAAATATTTACTTTGATGGAATGCTTCGGATGAGGATTGAGTCTACTTCGACGTACAATAAGAGAGATATGTCACCATAGTCTTGATGGAATGCTTGCTTCTCACCTTTTCTCCAACTCTCCCAAATCCTTTTCAAACTTTGAATATTTTTTAGTTTGATAGTGGCGGGTACGAAGCTAGATAATTATGACACATACTGCATTGACAGACTGTCTCCTTACTACTTTTGCTTTGCCTCGGACAAATAGCGCACATCTGTAGGGTTCACTTCTTTGTTCATGAAACTTTTATCCATCTTAAAAAGTCTTTCAACTAAATGTACACTTGTGGATCAATCACATTTTCAATATGCTATGAACATACAAAAATGAAACAAAGAAAAACAAAACAAATAGGTCAGTTAGCACATGAAATAAATATAGGCACAAAAATAATCAAATCAGTCCTACTTTTATTCTATCTACCCAAACATGATTTATTGAAACGTGTCCTAACCAAACATGTTTTTTACTCTCATTCATTTGTTGGAGCAAAAAAACTTAATCTCATACTTTTCTAGTTCTCATACTACTATTTGAAAGAGAAAATCTATCCTACAACTTTGTAGAGAACAAAGGTTAAAGTACGCTCCTCCTTTGTGTATGCCTATTTTGGTACCTTTTGATGGACGAAGGTTTGGCATGGCTTTACCTAGTGTGATCAGTCTATGGTTCACTATATGCATGGTTTCGGGTCAAGGGAAAGGGTACCTGAATTTTCCTTGATGTTGGTTCCCCCTCGGGCTACCAAATCCCCGATCCTTACTCATTACAGGATTCAAACTGAACTAGTTCAAATTGAGGAGATCTATTTCCCCATACCTATACGAGGAAATAAATTCTCATGGAGGTACAAGGCGTGTATCTCATAGGTTAGTAACTATAGGTCACATGGGGAATAAATTCACCACGAAAACATAGCGTTCACCCCTACTTAATCGGGATGGAGCTCGGATATAAAGCTTACGGCATATGATGCAAGTGAAGTGTGTAAAGAGGAGCATACAAACCTTTGGTCAAACAAGACGCCCAACATAAAAAAAAAACACCTTTGAAAATATTCAACAACTCTAAAAATAGAAAATTCAAAGATTAGTACAACTATTAATAAACAATTTGAAAATAATTAATCAATATCCAACAAAATCAATCATAAGATCATTTTTTATTTAAGCTTTCTAGTATCCATTACCACAACAATGTATAAGTGATTATCGGCCTGACTCTCTAATTTATCCCCAATGGAGTCGCAAGGCATTCATGACTTTTTTTCAAAACGAAAACGATTTTTAAGTTTAATTAGTGAAAAATTATTTAATTTTTAAAAATCAAATTAATTTCAAATTGGAGTCACCATTGACCTTTGGGTTAGATAGGTGGAATACCTGAAAACATGTTTTAAAAAATAATTTAATAAAAATCATTTTTAAAGATAAATTGATCTACGTTTACCAAAAATTCATTTTTACAGGATCGAGAGTCGACTACGCATAGGGAAGGGAAAACACCCCACGACGCCCAATACTGATACCTAATCGCTTATACATCATCATGGTAATAGAAATTAAAAGAATGCTAAAATAAAGAATTATCTTACGATTTATTTTATTTCTTATTAATTAATTCATTCTGAACTATAAGGAATATTCTCTATTTTGAGAAGAGATCACGGACTTTGCACGTCCTCCAATAGGAAGGCTTTCCCATCAACCTCTTCCCTATATAATAATATTTCCTTATTATTTATTTGGGACTCGCATTAAGCATGAATCAAATAAGTTAAAATTAAATTAAAGCAACATGCCAAAAAAAACACATTGTCATTATTAAAATAACGATTTAATTAATATTTCATTTTTATCAAAGCATACTCAGCTACTTTCAAGTTTGCTTTTCGTTTGAATGTCGTACTGAATAGTACCACCTCTATAGTTTGCACTTTTTACGCTCATTCTACAAAATATGTTCTGGAAAATTGATACAAGTATACATAAAGATTACCGATTGTTATTATCAAATTTAAGGACATTTAAACATGTTGAGCAACAACATGCATTATTATACTAAACATATAATAGTATAAGGACTAAAAGAAACTAAAGTAAGAAAATAGGGACCAAATCCATAAAATTTTAAAATACCTAAATTAAATATCAGATCTAATTAATGAGAAATTACATGGGTTATTTTGCATTAAAACCATTTTATTTCAAGTGAAGATCAAGTCAAGGCAGTGGCTAAAATATAAATCTAACAAATTATGGTGTCTTATAGCAGGAATAAGGCATATCCTACATCTTCTTACAAAGAGGACTAAAATGCAACGAATCAAAAATTGATAAGGCCAATCAAGCATTTAACCAAAGCATATAACAATATATATGATGATTAAAAAGTAAAAGCAATGAAATTTAAAGTTCAAGTCTGAAATAAATAAAATTTAAGTTTAATTAGTGAATTTTTTTTTCAAAAATGGAATTAATTTCAAATTGGAGTCTTCATCGACCTTTGAATTAGATAGATCGAGTACCCAAAAACGTCTTTTAAAAATAATTTAATAAAACACTCATTTTTAAAAACAAATTGATATACGTTTACCATGAATTCATTTTTATAGGATTAGGACTCGGTTACACGTGGGGAAGGGAAAACACCCCACAGCGTCCAATAATGATACCTAATCACTTATACATCATCGTGGTAATGGAAATTAAAAAAATGCTAAAATCAAGAATTATCTTACGATTTATTTTATTTCTTATTAATTAACTCGTTTCAAACTATAACGAATATTCTCTATTTTGAGAAGAGATCGCAGAATTTACACGTCTTCCAATGGGAAGGCTTTCCATCTACCTCTTCCCTATATAAGAATATTTCCTTATTATTTATTTGTGGTCTCACATTAAGCATGAATCGAATTAGTTAGCATTAAATTAAAGCAACATGCTAAAACAAACAAACACATTGTCATTATTAAAATAGCCATTTAATTAATATTTTATTTTTATCAAAGCATACTCGACAACTTTCAAGTTTGTTTTTTGTTTGAATGTCGTATTAAATCGTACCACCTCTATAGGTTGCACTTTTCATTCCCTGTCTACAAAATACGCTCTTGAAAATTGATACAATTATGCATAAAAATTAACAATTATTATTATCAAATTTAAGGATATTTTACCATGTTGAGCAACAGCATGCATTATTATACTAAACATATAATGGTATGAGGGCTTAAATAAACTAAAGTAAGAAAACAAGGACCAAATCCATAAAATTTCAAAAAGTAAATTAAAGATCAGATCTACATTAATGAGAAGTTACAGGGGTTATCTTGCATTAAAACCATTTTATTTTAAGTGATGATCAAACCAAGGCAGTGGCTATAATATAAATTTAACAAATTATGGTTACTTATAGTAGGAATAAGGCATTTCCTAACATATTCTTACAAAGAGGACTAAAATACAACGAATAAAAAATTAATAAGGCCAATCAAGCATTTAACCAAAGCATATAACAGTATACAAGGTGACTAAAAATTAAAAGCAATGAAATTTAAAGTTCAAAATCGAAATAAATAAAATTTCTATTCAGTGACCAAACCTAAAGGTTACAAAACACTAGACCCTGAGGATAAGATTATCCCATGCGCTAAACGCGCATATTACTTCCTCAAAATGAGAGCGCGTGGTGCCTGGCACAAATACTCAACGAAAGCTAAAATGCTATCTTTTCCCCATTTTTCACTTTTCTATTTCTTACCTAAAAGTGAAACTTGTTTTCTCTCAAAACTTCTCTACCCCTGCATCTCTCTACCATGGGAGATGGAAAGTATCGCTCTGGCCAACGAACCGTGAATCGGTGGCCACCAACGGCTAAGCTAAACCCAAAACTTTCCCTCCTCAAGCCTAGAACCTAAAAACGACTCAGTTCCAACCCTAACTCACCCAAAGAACTTTGAAAACCAAAAAAAAAAACTTAAGATAAAAATCCCTCTTTCATGATCCTTTGAACCTCTCTATACAGATCTATGAGCATGCAAGGCATTACCTTCGAGAAAACGGATTTTTTTGCTCTAGTGAGAAAGGTCGAATCCTCAAACGGTAGGAATCTCTCCTTTTTCTTCTTTTTATTAGTTTTCTTCTTATGGTCTCTCATTCTCTCCTTTGTTTTAGCTTTCTTTTTCTGGTCTCTCATTCTCTCCTTTATTTCACTTTTGGTTGCTGATATCCTCCTTTATATCAAAATCTCTCCCCTCTTTTTATTATTTTTTGTTGCCTGTTACAGAGGAAAGGCCCTTGACTTTTCTTTGTTTGTCTTTCTTTTTTTGGCTTTGCGGTCTGATCGAGGAGGGTACAACGTCAGGGACAAAGCCCTGAGAAGGCGGCAATGATGTGGGAGAAAGGAGGGGTAAATACTTTTACCCCGAGGTCTTTTCGTCCTTCTCTGTGGTGACTGGCGTAGAATTCGATGGTGCTGACATCATCAGCTTGCATGGGGAGCTATCAAGGTTGCATCTGGGGGCCGTTGGATCAAATCTGATCCAACGACTATGGCATGAGCGGCGGTTTCCATCCATTAGGGTTGTAATGAAACCATAAAATCATTAGATCCGGTCCCTTGGATTTGAATAGATCCAACGGTTGGAAATGTGGCGGCTGGGAACCCTTCTCCAAAACCCTAACATGCTTCAATCTAGTTCATCATATCACTTCCAGATCTGACAGTGAGGGACACACGACTCCAAGGAAAATGATAAAACCCTAGCTTCTTTTCTCTCCACATGTGGGCTTCTGTTAGGCTTTTATCCATTTGGGCTAGGGTTAATGGGTCTGTTTGTTTGTTGATGGGTTGTAAAGGGTGTGGGTAACATTGTAATTTGGACTTAATTGGGTTTTTAGTAACATTTTTAATATAATAATAATAGTAATATAATAATAATACAATAATAATAAAAATATGGGTGGAAAATTGATGATTACTCAACAACAACAACAAAACCCAATTCCCATATGTATGGGGTAAGGGGAGGTAGGGTAGTAGGTTGCTCCCAACGCCAGGTTGAGAATAGCTTCCGTGAAAGACCTCCGGCAGTCAGAAAATTAAAAATATAGATAAAATGCAATGTATGTATAAATAATTACATAAATACATAGCTAAACAATCTTCATATGCAGTCATTAATATCATATGTGCTTCTGTAATGGGGAGTAATCCCTGCAAAATAATTCATGCGAAAGAGTCTCTACATATAGACAGAAATCTAAGACCCGGCTAAAATTAACAGAGGAAACATGATGAGAATGATACACATGAGACAACGATAGCAAGCCCAGTTCTAATCTTTCATAAATACCAATAACAGAAAAGTATAAAAAGTAAAAGTCAATGAAATAACTACAAATGCATTTAAAAGAAGACAAAGATGATACACCCTATAGATGTGACTCACACTACTCGACTACCCTAGTCTTAAGCCTCCATAATTTCCTATCATAGGTCATGTCTTCGGTAAGGCCTAAATCCCTCAAATCAGATCTCAAGTAGTCATTCCACTTCCGCCTTGGTCGTCCTTTCCTTCTGGCACCGTCGATTGTAATCGACTCTACCCTCCTGACCGCATCCGACGGTAGTCGCCTAAGGACGTGCCCAAACCACCGTAGTCTTCCCTCCCTCATTTTTTCGGAAACAGACATCACCCCTAAGGACATCTTAATAGCAGAGTTTGTCGTCATATCCCACAGAGTCCTACCACATGTCCATCGAAGCATTCTCATTTCTGCGGCCTCTATCCTCCTTACGTGATCCTTCTTGGGTGCCCAACATTCTGATCCATACAACAGCGCTGGTCTTATTGCCATTCTATAAAATTTTCCCTTAAGTTTTAGAGGCACCTTCTTGTCACACAAAACTCCAGTAGCAGCCCTCCACTTTAAGATTACTCGATTGTTTTTAAGATACAATGAGTTTAATGAAAAAGAATTTCCCTTTGTCAATGCTACCTAATCATGTGAAGAAACATATCAAATTTATAGATCTTTCCTCAAAACCATATCTCTAACAAAATGAACATCAATTTCAATATGCTTTGTTCGAGCATGGCGTACAAGATTAGAAGCGAGAGCATTCGTACTTAAGTTATCAACCCACATTATGTGTTTGGAAGGTAGAGAGAATGAACACTCTTTGAGAAGTTCCAGGATAACTCTAGAAAGATTTGCTAAAGACCTGTACTTAGACTCTGTGCTTGACCTGGCTACAACATCATGTTTCTTAGAAGACCAAGAAATTAAATCATCGTCAAAGTAAATACAATGCCCTGGAACTGAATGATGATCATTTGGACAACTTGTTCAATCAGCTTTTGAAAATCCATTTAAACAAAGTCTATCATTGTATTTGATGTGCAACCCAATTGAAACAATTCAACTCAAGTAACGAAGAACCCTTCTCGTTGCTTGCCAATGAACCATAGTTGGTTGTTGAAGAAATTGAATCAGCTTGTTGATAGCAAATGTTATATCTGGTCGAGTGTGCGTGAGATACTTAAGAGCGCCTATAAATCGTCTATAAGAAGTTGGATTCCTACTGACTTTTCCTTCTTCTTTAGATAATTTTTTTACCAGTACCAAGAGGCATTGAACAAGCGTTAGCATTTTCCATCTCAGCTTTGTGTAAATTTTTTTTTAATATATTTGGATTGCATAAGAAACATGCCAGTTTCATATATATGAACTTCAATGTCGAGAAAAATGATGTAGAGAACTCATGTCTTTTAGAGCAAAAAACTTGTTCAACTTGTAAATGAAAGCTTGTACAAATTCTTTGTCATTGCATGTGATCAAAACGTCGTCAACATAAACAAGTATAAATAAGAGTTTTTTTTGTGAGGATTGAAAAGAAGAAGAAAAAAAGAGAGACATCACATTTGGAATGAATAAAACTCCAATCAACTAACGTGTTCTACAGCCTGTCAAAACAAGCATGGGGAGATTGTTTAAGGCCATATATAGCCTAGTCAAATTTGCATACAAAATCTGATTTTTAAGGATCAATGAACCCTTCTGGTTGTACCACATACACATCTTCTGCCAACAATCCATTCAAAAATGTATAGTTAATATCCAATTGTCGAACCTCACATCCTTTTGAGACAGTAAGAGTCAATACAATCATTACGTAGTAGGCTTGGTGACTGGACTGAATGTCTCAAAAAAATCAATTCGAGGAGTTTGATGAAATCCCTTGGAAACTAATCTCGCTTTGTAACTATCAATGCCTCCATTTAGATTATATTTGAGCTTGAAAACCCACTTGCTTCCAACCAAAGAATGCTTTGAACACGGAGGGACTAAGTGCCACGTTTTATTTCTAATTAGAGCTTGATACTCAATTTGCATTGCCTTTTTCCAGTTATTACTTTTTTAAAGTTGCTGAAACAGATTGAGGCTCTGTAGTGTCAAGGTTATCAAAACCATCAGCAACTTTGACAACACCAGTAAATGGAACTTTTGGCTTGAAGATACCACTCTTTCCCCTTGTGATCATTCAATCGAAATTCTCCACTCTCTTCATGACTTTCATTTCCAGCAACACTTGTTGATTGATCTAATTCAGCAAAACCAAAATCGGATGCAACATCAACTTGACATGACTCTCTTTGTGAATATGAAGTAGAACTTTCAAGATTAGATGAAGCTACTAGACAGGGTTTTTGATGATCTATACAAGAAGAAGATGCACCATTATTCAAATTATGTGACATTATGTACCATGAAAAATGCGAAGAAACGAGAATTGGAGTCGAAACAATTTTGGTATTGAGAAAACCATTGACAAAGAGAAATTTTTTTACTTTGTTGACACTTTAATTTCTTGGTCTTCTAAGAAACTAAATGTTGTAACCAGATCAATTACGAAATCTGAGTACAGGTTTTTAAAAAAATATTACCGCAGAGTTATCGTAGATTACTTCACTCCTCAAAGAGTTTTTATTTTCTCTACCTTCCATTTTTTGGCTCGACAGCAGGGACAAATCTATTTTTTGGCTCTTGGATACAATATTTATATTATACCTTATTCTGGTCAGTGGCAGTATTTTTATTTTTTGAAATAAGTTAGTGGCAGTAAAGAAAAGCAAAAGTAACAGGAGTAAGTATTGTAGAAACCTGATTCCTTTCTAGGTTACAACTTGATTTATCAAATAGAAACTTGTTTTTAGTTTTAATCTAATTTATTGTATAGAAACCTGATTCCTTTTTAGTTGCAACTTGATTTTGCTTACAGAAACCAAATTATAGGTTGCAACTTTTTTTTTTTTATGGAAAACAGATTCTAAATTGGAAACCTTATTTTTTTTTTTTTTTTGTATAGAACTGAAAATTTGGTTGGAACGTACTGATTTTTTTACACTTAGATCTTTACATTTATAAAAGTTTTAACGTGGTCCCGTATAATTTCTTTTACTTGCAGTTTGGTCCCTTAATTTTGAAGTAATTTCAATTTAGTCCTTAATGTTATGAAAAATATATGATTTAGTTCTTAATCAGAAGATACATGAAAAATTGCCTAATACGAGTGATTAATTCATGTTTGGTATGGGATTTACATGTATCATCGAATATTTAGAAATGCTTGTTTAAAATCAGATTTTGATCTTCGATTACACCTCTGACCCAATTTTTTTACTAAGTTGGGTATAGGGTGTTACAATATGGTATCATAGCCTAGGTTTAGTCAATTATAGGACTAAACCAAGGTTGGTTGCATTTTCATGTTTTGAATATTCCATTAGGAGTTAAATTTTGTTTAATTTATGTGACTTGTAACTAATATGATCCCTAATTTCTTTGTTTTAGTTATCAAGATGTCTAGTGACCTTTCGAGAGCTGAAGATCTCAAAATATTTACCGACTCCTCCAATGCTGAGAAGCAAACAATCTCAATCTACTCTGAATCCTTCTTCTGCTCATGTGTCTAACTCCCGAGCTGCTATTGATAAACTAGCCCAATTTGGTGTTGATGATGCACAACCTGAGACCGCTGAATATTGGCTAGACAATACCCTAAAGATTGTGAATAAGCAGCTCCAATGTTTCTAATGAACTTAAACTCGAATGTGCTACCTCCTTAATTTCTGATGAAGCACAGAATTGGTGGGAAGATACAATCCAAACTGTTCTGGAAGAGAGGGTAACATGGGATTTTTTTGTTTGAAAATTCAAGAAAAAGTACATTAGTGACAACTACCTAGCTGAGAGAATGATGAAGTTTCTGCTCTTGAAGCAAGGAAATCAATCTGTGGATCAATATGTTCAAGAATTTTGCAAACTTAGTATATAGTGTACTGAGTATCTTAAGACTGGAGAAGACAAGTTTCGGATATTTGTTGATGGTTTGCATGATGAATTATGCCCACTTTTTACTGCCTTTGGAATATCAGATTTCCAAGAGCTTGTGAATCGAGCTATTGCCACTGAATCTGCTCAAAAAGCCCGTCAAAGAAAAAGTGGTAAGTTTTGAAAAATGGATAAATGAAAGAGGGAATTTGTTAACTTACCTGTATCTTAGAAGAAACCTCGGGATCATAATTCCTCTCAATCTTATACTAGTCAGCCTACTAGGACGAATTATGTTCTGAAACTGTAATTGATTATGAGATCATCTCCTCAACATGCTTCTATGGAAAGTACTGGTGGTTCGGGTCGAGTTTCCCAATCTCCTTTTTGTAATTTTTGTCAGTAACGACATTCA